TATTTAAATAATTAACATTTTTATATTAAAAACTTTTATCACAGCCCGAGATATTAGGCTAGCATAAGATTTAACCTTCTCACATTTTGAGATGTAAAATCAGTAATCAAACTGCTAAAATCAAGTTTTTCCAACATATTTTTTCAATAGAAATCATAGCTAATCCATTCAATCGCTCTTTTGACATGGTTGATCGAAAATAAGACTTAGCACGTGTTTGGCCCTCATTTTTTAGGAAGAATTAGTTTTTGAATAGTGATTGATGGGAGAATGTGTGGTGTAAAAGTGATGAAAAATTTTAGATTTGTGTGTAATATTATTTTATTTGGAGAATGTGTGGTTGAAAATGAGTACGGTAAAAAAATGAATGGGAAAAATGGAGAAAGAATGAGGCTCAAACATGTCAAGTGCTCTCTCTTCAAATTTAACCAATTTTTCAACCTTTTGTTTTCTTTTTCTTTTGGCACATCCAGATTCAAATTTTCTCGTAGACATAGGTATAAGCAAAGAAAAATAGAACTTGATCGATGTGTCTGGAAATTTTCAAAACTTCTCCTAAAAGAAAGGACTCAGCAATGATAAATGACATGCAAATATGTAGTTACAGATGATAAAAACAAAGTTTCCATTGAGTAAATAATTAAAATAATAAAATAAAAATTCTATTACAGCAAATTAAGGAGGTTTTTGCTTCTATTCAAGTGGATGCAACCACAATTCAACTGGCATGCAAAATCCAACCTCCCACATTCACCCGTTTGAGCAATAAATTCAACAGTAAAGTTCGTTTAATCCAATTCCATAATTCCATCCAATTAAAAATCCAACCTCCCACGTTCACCCGTTTTCTGTCATTCATCAATATCCTTAATGAAAATTGAATGCATACCTAAACATTCATATATTTATCAATAATCTTCCATACATAGAAAAAAAAATACCTAAACATTCATATATTTATATACTCAGAGAGAGAGAGAGAGAGAGAGAGAGAATGATATATTAATTCTCAGAGCAATCAAAATCAACAGATATTTATATACTCTCAGCACAAGTTTACTGAAGAAAAAATCCATATACTCAATCAATCTCAATCAACAGATAACATGATATATATATATATATATATATATATGGAATTTATTCGACAGAATGATATATGAACAAATTATTTCACCATAATGCATAATTCATGAGATTCATACACGCTCATGTGAGTGTACCTGAGATCCAAAGAAGTGGCGGAGCGGATTGAGTGTTGAAGTCTTGAAGAAGATGAGAAGATTAGAAGACCGAGAGTTGAAGATGATGGTAAGGAAATAGGTATTTGAGGGTTTTTATTTGGGGCTTTTTGGGCTTTTGGGCCTTTTTTTAGGGCCACTTAATATTTGAGGCCCAAGGGAGTGGATTGAGGGGTTTTTTTTTTTAGTGGCCCCTAAAAAATTGAGGCCCAAGGCCACTGCCTTAG